CCCGTGGCCTCAGCGCTGCCATCAGCCCAGCCCCGATTTCAGAGGAGCTGCTTTTGAACTCATCCAGTGGCTAAACCCTCCTCCAAATCTCCACTTTTATTTTTGGGGGGGGGGGAAACAACCCAAACCAAACAGCAAGACATGAAAAGAAATACTCTTGCTGGCCTCCCTGGCTGCCAAGATAACCGCCCCCTCCTAACGAGCTGCTGTAATTAGGTGCTTTGAATCCCTGACGCGCCGGGAGAAACATCGTGTTTGTCAATTCTCTGCGAGGATGTTGGGATGCTCTGTTTAAATCAGGGTGGTTTAGATGCAGTGGATGCTCTCACATGCAGGTGAAACACAGCCCAGCACCTGGACACAGGGATTTACACATCGGTCCTGCCCTGCAAGGGAAACCCAAGCTTTGGCATTTGCCTCTTTTTTTTTTTTTATGTCACAGAAACAAGGCAAAAAATGGAAATGGAGAAATTTCCCCATGTGATAACATTTTTTTTTTTAATGAAAGGGGAAAAATATCACTGCTGGTCTATTGAGATGTGACCCTTTGAACCGCTGAGGCCACAGTGTTTTCCTCTCATGGGGCCCTTTCATCCCCCTTTATTCTCCCGTGCTGAGCCCCAACAACTTTGATAATGTTGACTTGTTATATCAGATAAAATATTAAAGTCCTATGTTATAGCCTGAAATTAATATTTTAATAGAACGTAAAAGTCGAGGCGAAGACGAATCCAAACAGTAAAATTGAAATGAAACATTTTTATCTTGCAGGAAGGAAAGGGCTCGACGCAACTGCTTTGATTCACCCTTCCGCTGCTTTTATAGGCTATTAAAATATTCATTTTAATATTATAAATATTGCATTCAATATCTAATGTGCCGTTGCACTGTTTGGGGCACCCAAAAGTCAAAACAATTTGCTGGTCGTGGGTAGCACAGGGTGGGCTCAGGACCTGCAGCGTCTCGGTGGTGAAGTATCTGAGCCCGTTTCTTGCTTTTCCCACCCATTTTCTTCCACCAGCATCACCCTGGGAAGAAGGAGACCCATGGGATGGCCTTGGGGACCAGTGATAGAGACAGTCCCCAAATGGACAGAGGCAAGACAGAGCCATGGATCCACAAAACAAGCCATGAACCCCGCGAGGAATCCAGCCGGACAATTAATTACAATAAAAGGCCTTTTTTTCCCATTGCCTTAGAAATAATAATATAAAATTAATTTATGGCAATTACGGGGCTTCTATATTTATGTCATTATCAGAACTATATAAGGAAAGGCGGATGATACAAATGTATTTCGGGCACTGCTCTGGAAGGGAGGGAATTGATATATATTTTTAATCACGTTCCAGGATCAGCCATTCAACTCCCACACAGAATTAGCTGTCGGGCCGGGGTGTGATGCTCCAGACACTAACAAGGCAGCCACCGTTGGAGAGAGCTGCTTGCAGGCAAGGAAATTCCCTGCCTGAATCAATCTTTATTGGAAAATAATGGGAAAACTGGAGGCTTGGAGTGAGGGTTTCACTGTCCTGGGGCGTTCCCAGGGCATTTTTGTTTTAATTCTTTCTGGCTTATAGGTAATTTATCTTTGTTGGAGGGTCCTTGGGGTCAAAGCATGAAAAAAAACAGCCCAGGGTGTTCCTCCAGGTGCAAACCTCAGTCCTGGCTCTTGGCTTTTGTTTTTGTGGGGTTTGGTGTGTGTTTTCCCATGCCAATGCATCCAGAGGGGAGTCTGCAGACCAAGAGCCCTCCCTGCCCTTCATGGTTCCGTCTTATCACAGCAAGATCCTTGCACAACTCTTGGAGATGACGAGCGGAGCTGGAGGAAGCTCAGATGTGTCTTGGTGGGCATTGTCCCTGTAGGTGCCTCAGTTTCTCCATGGGAAGGGAAAGGTGAGTCCCCCCTGAACCCTCTTTTTCATCCCCCTCACAGCAGCCCCTGTGCCTGCTGCCCGCCTGCCTTGGTGGCTTGGCTCTGCCACGGCACCTCCGCAGAGGCTCCCACAGGGATTAGGGCCGGATTTGGTGATTAGCACCTCCCGGGCACTGTTATCCCAGCGATTAGTGCTGCCTCCGGGATTACTGGCAGGTGAAACGCTGGCCAGGGATTACCGGGAGAGGCCGGGCTGTCCCGGCACCGCGATGCTTTCTGCCCGACCTGGCACTAATGCTCTCGCTTGGGGTTTGCTCCCACAGCCGGGATTTATCCACAGGGAAAGTGCCTCCAGCCCACAGGGTTTGCACTCCAAAATCCTTCTCTGTGTAGGGGCTCAAGGGGCTGTTGTGATTTGGGTGGATGTGGTGCTTTTGGGAATGAAGCCAGACCCCATCCTGCCTGGACATCTCTCAGTGTTTTTTGGGGTAACTCCTTGGGAAATCCTTCCTTGTGCTTTCCAGTGCATCGTATGTCCAAAAAAGCAGGAGGTGCTCAGACGGGTCCCCACAAAGGTGGGACCCTGCACTGGAGTCACATTTTGGCCTTCCTCGCCTCAGCTCCTGCTAAAATAACATTTATCTCCAGCATCTCCTCAGCATAAGTGGCAATCCCGGCTTTGATTCTCACTGGGGAAAGAGAGATCACAGCCGCCTGCTCTCGCCCACCCCAGCCCCTCTGCCTGCCAGAGCTGGAGTCATAAATAAAATCCAGCTGGGGTAAAAATACTTATTTCTGTAACAGCTGAAAAATATCCCAGCAGTGGTGCCAAGAACCTGCCAGAGGCGCCGCGGGAACGCAGGAGGGATTGCACCCAAACATCCCTCTTTAAAAGCTCTCATCCATCAGTGGGAAAAGGATCCCATGACCGGGAAGGATGCGGCGTGGTCCTGTCATCATCCCATTTCCCAACCCTGGGGTCCGTTTTGGAGAGGGGAAACTCAGGCTTTGCCCCATCGCCCTCTGGGCAGGCTGAGGAGAGGCAAATCCTGGCCCAGCCGCTGCTTTGCTCTGTCTAATGCTCCTCCATCCCTGGGGATCCAGCCCGTGAGTCAGCCCTCCCCTTCCCAAAGCAATCGGGAGATTGGCTTATAAATCATGGGATTTTTATGAAAACAAGCAGCGAGTGCCTGTGCAGTGGTGTGGGGCCGCTCCCACAGCAGCCGGGCCTTTTCCAGGCATCAGAAACAGTGCTCAGCCCTTCCCACAAACTCCAGCTGCTGGCTTTTGGGGCACATCCCATCTCCCTGCTCTTCTTCGCCCTGGCCCCTCTGCCATTCCTCAGCATCCTTTGCAAAGACCTCCCAGCAGCACCCAAAGGTGCTGGGGATGTGCAAGGGCTCGGTCCAGGGTCTGTCCTCCCCCCTCGGCACGGCCGGGCTGCCGCTTCTTGGGGGCATCTTCAGCTTCTGTCACTGCTCAAGGTCAATCCTATTAATTGCCGTGAATTATTTTGGCATTAATGGAGATGTCTTATGCACTTCCACTGTAAATGAGGCTGCCAGGATGAACGTGCTGGCCAATATTTCCTGGTGAAGGGAGACGGGGAAATGTTCGGCAGCAGAGAGGGTGAAGGTTCCTGAGGTGGTCACGGGGTTGGTGGGGGCAGGAAAACCCACCCTTGGCTGAGGTGGCCGAACCAGCCATGGTAGATGCTCACAGGAGCCATGCAGGGAACGTGATGGGTGTGTAGGCTGTCATGGGGACTCAGTTCCCAAATATTCACACATCCCCATCGGCCACCGTGTGGTTGAGGGGAGCATGGCATTCCCAGGGTGGGAAGGCAGTGTTGCTCCCCAAAAACCCAACTCTCCCATGGCTCTGTAGCAGCAAACCAGGACAAGGGGAATCCCTCCCCATCCACGCTGAAAACATCTCTAGGCCCTGCAGGAGACAATCCCTGGATGTGCAGGGGACCAGGCAGCCCATGAGGGGCAGGGGCGAGGGGGTGACTGGTTCCCCCATCCCTGGGGGGCACAGGGGGTCCCCAGCCACCCACACCCATGTGTGGGGGCTGTAGCCAGGCCCTGCCTGTGTCCCTAGTGCTGCAGGGAGTGGGGTGACAAGGCTGATACCCGTGGGTGGCACTAGCAGAGCGGGCTGGGGAGGCAGGGGATGCCCTGGTCACAGCAGGGATGGAGCAGGGACCCCCAGGGTGGTGAGAAGTGACCAAACCCTTCTGTCCCTCTCCATCACGGGGGTGACGAGGTATGTGCTCCCTGCTCCACATTTCTTGCCCTCCTTTAGGAGTCTTAAGCCCCCATTTTTCTGGACCCTCTTGCATTGCAGCGGTGTCGGTGCACGGCCCCCAGGGCAGGGCAGGGCCGGGCAGCCCCCCCGCCGCACCCCGGGGTGCTGGGGCGGGGTCCGGGAGGGGGGGCGGGCTGGGAAGTGCCTGGGGGGATCGGGAAGAGGAGGGTGGGCTCTGCATCGCATCGCGCTGCACCAGCGGGGACCTCCTCGCCCGAAGAGGAGGGGGAGGAGGAGGAGGAGGAGGAGGAGGAGGAAGGCGCCTCCCCCTGCCGCCCTCCCCTCGCTGGCACCCACCGGTGCCCGATGCGGCTCCGGCCGGGCGAGCGGCCACCGGAGCGCCCAGCGGGGCCCCCCCGGCTCGGCTCAGCACGGCACAGGCGGGGGGGGCTCGGAGCGGGGCCAGGGGCACGACCCCCCTCAACTTGCCGCTTTGCCCAAGGCTCCCGCACCCCCTCTTTCATTCCGTCTGCGGGCAGAAGGGGGTGCACCCCCTCTTTAATCCGAAGGGGGGGGCAGAGGAGGCGGGGACCCCCCTCCTTTCCACGCTCATGGCGGGGTCCCCCCGCTTCCAGCCCTGGCGGGGGGGCAGCGGCTGAGCCCCGGGGTCCCCCCCCCAAACTTTGCCTTCGGATGCGGGGACTCCGCCGCCGAGCTGCTCCTGCCAACGATTAATCGCATCTGCCTGGGATTAATTATTCACCCAGCTCTGGGTTGTGTTTTTTTTTGTTACGTTCTTGTTGTTTTCTCTTTTTTTCCCCCGTTTATTTTTTTTTCCTTGGGGGAGCGCTTTAATTCAGCTTTTTTCCCTCCCCTTTAATTTTTTTTCTTTTTTTTTTTTTTTCCCTTTGGAAGAACAGCGCTTGGAATTCTTATTTTTATTCTTGTGCAGAGGGGCTGGCGACCCGCACCCTGCAGCATCATCCTCCATCAGCACATCGGTGCTGTTTTTTTTCCCCGGGAGGGGGTTACACGTGCTCTTCTCCCCCCGCTGCCGACTCCCGAGGAGGAAGAGGAGGAGGAAGAAGAGGGGGACCCGCCCCCGCCGGCTGGGCGCTCCCCCGGCCGCCCTGCAGGCACTGGGGGGGGGGGTTGCGGCAGGTTTGGGGTGCGGGGTGGGGAGGGGTGGGGGACCGGAGATGGGGTGCTCTGCTCGCTGAGCTGGGGGGGCAAAGCCGAGCCCCCCTCCCAACCTGAACCGGTTCCCCCCCCCTCCCCAAATTCCGCCGTTGGCTGCTGCTCCCGGCTCGCACGTGGTTGGATTTAGGGGATTTCTGCGGTTTTTTTGGTGCTCGGTCTGGATTCTTTTTGTTGTTATTATTTTTTTTTTTTATTTGCCACGGGGCCCCCCCGGTTTTCTTGCTGCCCCCCACCTTGCAATGGCCTCTCCGGAGAAGATGCTCCCCGGGCCGGCCGCGCTGCTCTGCTGCCTCTGCTCGCTGCTGCTCCCCGGTAAGTGCTGGCGCCGGGGGAGCTGGGGGGGCAATATATATGTTATATGTCTGTCTGCAACACGGGAGGGAGGTTTGCAGCATCTGCCCCCGCCAGGGGCAGCCCCTGCCCCTCTGTACCCGGCTGGGACCCCCCCTCCCACAGCCACCCCCTCCCCTGGTTCTCTGTGCCCCCCCCCCAAGCGAAACGGGTGAAGATTAGAGTTTATTCCTGGCTTAATAAAATGACAGCTTGTGCTTGCGAGCGCTTGCCGGGGGTTGTGTGCCGGGGCAGGGAGCGGGGTGGCAGGGGGACACATGGGGCGAGGGGGCTTCAGCCCCCCCTCCCCCCAGCCCCCCCTGCCCCTTGTCTCCTTAATGCAGAGCTGCTTTAGCGGGAGGATCAGGGGCTTTATCCGCTATTATCCACTCGCTTATCCCCCGGACCCGCACCCAGACACTTTCTCAGTCTGCGCTGAGTTGCTGGGCAGGCTCTGCCGAGGTGGCATCGTTTTGGGATGGAGGGGACGGGGGATGCAGCCCCTTCCATCCCTCTCTTTCTTTCTGATCCCCCCACCTGCCTGCACCCACTTGCCCTGAGTTGCATCCAAATCACTGCCGTGCCATGGCCGAGCTGCGGTGACATCCTGGCCTGCCCTGGTGACAGCCCTGGGGACGCCAGCACCTGCTGCTGGGGGCTTTTATTGGCGAACGAGGCCAAAGAGGGGTCATGTACCCCGAGGGATGTGGTTTCCATGAATGATTTCTATGGATGCTTCCCTTTTAAAGCCAAGCCCCACAGATGCCCCAGCCGAAGCCACTTTCCCTGGCAGCCAGCTTGGCCAAACAGAGAGTGGGGGGCTGCTTGCAGTGTGGGGGGGTCACCCAGACCCCTCCTGCCAGCTTGGCTCTGGCCTCAGGCTCAGAGTGTCCCGGGGACTGTGCTGCCCAGCTCAAACGATCCCCCCAGGAGCTGGAGGGGATCCCTGGACCGTGCCTGGCTCCGTGTCGCACCGGCAGCCCATGGCCAAGGCACTTGTGGGGCTCAGGCAGGACTTTCTCGGCATCTGCAGCCCCTGAGGGTCTTTGAGGAGCTTGGGGAGCTGCTCACCCACAGTGGTGAAATAAGGAGAAGGGGGGAATGTTGGGAACATTGCAGGGAGCTGGCAGGGGGTTTCCACCCTGGAAATTCTGACCCTGGCAGAGGAGTAGAGATCTCCAGGCTGTCAAGCCACAACTTTAGTAGCATCCTTTTTGGGGGGCAAATGCTGCCCCCCTGTACCCCGAGACTGATTGTTTCCTGGAATGCTGCCCCGGTGGGATTTGGTGGCAGAGCTTCACTGCTCTTTGGGACCACCAGGTCAGGAGTCTGCAGGCAGGGGGCCGGCAGCCGGTGTGGAAGTGGGATCTCCTGCTCCCCAATTTGCCTGGATAAGATCCAACTGTCTGGGTCGGCGGTGCTGCCGGGGGCGGCTGTCGGCTGTGGGAAATATCCCTGTGCAAGCGATGATCCATCAAGAACGGCCTCTGGTGCAGGGGCTGGATGTGGCCCCTCGCTCCCCATCCCCTCCTGGGCATTTCTGATTCCCCAGTTGCCGCTGGGACACCACGAGCCCGGTGGGTCAGGCCTTGGGTTTAGGCCAGGGCAGAATCTGGCCCCTGGGCTGGGGGGTGCAGTGGGTGGAGGAGTCCCCCTGGCAGCGATGCCAGTGGGGAGTGGGCAAAGGTGGCCTGTGCCAGGGCTGGCCGTGCTGCCATGGGGGGATGCCTGTGCTGGTGGAGAGAGGAGCCTCTGCCAGGAGTTTTTAGGCTCTTTTCAGGATGCGCAGCTGCCCTCGCTGCCGCCGCTTTGGCCTTTCCTGGACAAATAAAGGTCTTGGAGGGAGCCGGAAAAAGAGGCTGAGTGAGAGCTCCTAATTCTCCGGCGTTTCTTACAAATCACTCGGGCTGGCAGCGGGGTCAGCCGGCGGTGAAGCAGCACCCTGCTCTGCTGCTTGGAGTATTTTATTCCCTTTTCCCTTGTTTTTTATTTAAGAGCAGGCCTTCGTGCCAGACTCCCTCCTGCTGCGCTCCCTTGCCGGCCCCGGGAGCCGCTTGGCCGAGGCCCCAGATCAGCTGCTTCCAGAAAGGGTTTTTTTTTGGCATCTCCGGGGTGAGATGGCCCCAGGGTGGCCCAAAGGGCTCACAGGAGGGATGGAGGGATGGACACACAGAGCCCTGGCCCGTGGGGCCGTGGGGGATGCTGGTGGTGTCTGCCCAGCACAGTTGTGCTGCGAAGCTGTTGGGATGCGGCACAGGGGGATTTACCCCTCAGTTTGTGCAAGGACTTGTGCTGTCCATGGGGCTGAGCCTGGGCTCCTGCACCTTCTCTCTGCTCCCTGCTGAGCCTTGTCTCTGCAGTGTGCCTCAATTTCCCCTCTCCCAAAGCAGTGCTTGCCTGGAGGCAAAGGTCCAGGGATGCAGTGGTCCAGGTTTCTGGGGTCATTCAGCATCTGTCCCAGCAGGCAGGACAGGCTTGAGGCCCTACACTGGATCCCACAGCCCCAGCACCTCCATCCCACTGCTGATGGGGATGGGGCTGTGCCACTATTCCTGTATATCCCATGGCTTGCTCCCACCACAGGCAAGTCCCAGGCATGGGGCTGGTGGTGAAGGGTGATGCTGGAGATGGTCCATAGGTCCACCCCTGCTGGGGTCTCCAGCCAGTGCAGCCCAACCCTGGCAGGGGGTTACTCACCAACCCCCATCCTCCTTTCCTCTGAGCATCTCCCAGCTCAGGGGCTTTCAGACCAGCAGGTGGAGATGTGCCATAACTCGCTGTGGAACCGGGAACACACACCCGACGTTTGCTCATTTAACACCCGAACCAGGAACGTACACTGGGAATGTACACCAGGATCATACACCTGGTGTTGGCTCACTTGACAGCTCCCACCCTGGCCATGCTGATGGGGTCAGAGCAGCTGAGCACCCCTGGCTCCATCCAGGAGCAGAGAAGGGGCAATAGGATATTTCCTTGCCCTGGCAGGCAGGTGAGAGGAGAGGATCCGGCCTCTGAGCTGGGTTAAACCTGGCACAAGTTTTACCTTTGGTGCTGCAGAATAGAGGGACATGCAAGGACACCCCTTTTGGCTTTTGGCTCCATAGTGTCCTTGCATGACCCCAGGGCCCAGTCCATCTTCCCCCAACCCCAATACCTTAAATCTCAGCAGGATGTCCTGGGACATAGCAGTGTGAAGTGGAACACCTCACTGGGAAATTGTCTTTTCTTTTACCCCTTTTGTCCTCTTGGTGTTGTTGAGGAAAGGGAGAAGGATGAAGGATGCCAATTGGTAGCATGATGGAAATCCTCTGAGTAATGATTTTGGTGAGCAGCAGTGGCAGGATTTGGTTCTGGGAGTTTCAAGGCACCTCGATACCCTCATCCAGACCTGTCCTTTTGTGTGTGCATGTGGCTGTGTGTGCACACTGGGGGAAACTGAGGCAGGGTATGGGGTGGCAGCAACCCCCTGACTGGGGATTGCTCAGCAGTTTTTGGAAACCTGGCTATTTTGAGGGTTACTGTTTAAATCACTCCCCCATGACTGGCTGCTGAGGTTCCTCTTCCTGCTTCTCTGCCTCCTATAATAGAGGAAGAAAACAGAAACCAACACGGCCGGGGATCCCTGCAGAGCATCCCCAACCTTCCAGCAGCACATCCCAGCTCCATCCCGTGCTGTGGAGGTAGTCAGCAGGATGTGGCATCATCCTGGGCAGATGATGGGTGAGGGAAGGGATGCTTAGACAGCATAACCCGATTTTTTTTTGGCTGCTGCAATTGCCTGGCCAACACGGCCCGTGCTGGGTGTGCGGAGGAGTCGCTGAGCTGCCGGGGTGTTCCCCTCCCACGTGGTGCCTGTCGCCGTACGAGCATCCCATCCATCTGGAAAAGGTCACTCTTGCTGATCTAATCAGAACCTTTTATTATTAAATACATGGCTCTGCTAATGAGCAGCCCCCCGGGTGGGAAGGGAGGTGGCTGCTCCTGGGGTGGGACACGCTGTGATGGGGCTGGGGATTTTGTCCATGTGGCAGAAAGAGAAATGGTTCAATGGTGTGAAGTGAGGGAGATCCTGGTGCCCCTTGCTGAGGGGGAAGGAGGTTGGAGCTCACTTTCCTTGCAAACCGGGAGACATGGGGTCCTCCAGCCACGTTTGATGGTGGCCCAGCGATCCCCACCCTAGGGAAGCACCAGCTGAGCTGGTGGATTCATGGGCTGTCACTTCTCCTACAAATGTCCCAGGTTTGGGATGCAGAGGTTGTTCCTCAGGATGTGGCTCTCCTGGGGACCACTCCCTTCATTTTCCCTAAGCTGTTGCCTGACCTGTTGCCACTCCCACATCCCTGGGGCCCACATCCCTCACCCTGGCTGGGTGCTGAGCCCCTCACTGCTACTCTGGCCTCCTGGGGGGACATTGTCAGCAAGGCAATTCACAGTCCCCTGATGAAGCCACTGTCTCCTGCTGGCGAGCATTTTCCCATTGCTCGGATAATATTTACCATCCCTGCTTTCTCACCAGCTCTGGAAGAAGCCCAAGCAGGTGCTGCTGGGGTGGCCGTGCCCCCGCTCGCCGTGCTGTCACCTCCCGGCCCCTGCAGGAGTTACCGGGGCAGGTTTGCCCTGATGAAGTGGGCTGAGCTCTTCCCCAGGACTGGCAAAACTTGAGAATGAAATTAATTTCGAATTTATTTTTTCTTTGAGGGAAAGCTTTCGGTGTTTTCCCTCTGGAAGATAAATAAGATTGAAAATGCAATACCGGCCGCTGCCAGCTCGGCGCGGCTGCTGGATGCGCTCGGGTACCAGCGGGGAGGAAGGGGATGTGTTTCCAGCCGTGCGTGGTTGATGCTGGGTGGCAAAGTCATGAGCTGGTACCTGTTCCCAGCCCTGCTTTTGGGAGTGCTGGGGCTGTGGGGCTGCTGCTGGCCCCCAGCCCTGGTTGCTGAGGGCTGAGGCTGGGTTTATCTGCGGCTCCTCGCGTTCCT